GTAGCGCGCGCACACACACACACACACACACACACACACACACACACACACACACACACACACACACACACACACACACACGTACACACATAAAGACTACCACATCCTACAAAGCAGCTGGATAGAGACATCACTTGTCATGCTTGTCAGCTCACACCGCTCACATCTCGACACCAAAACACACCCCAATGTGCCCTAAACCGGCTTAAGTAAGTTTATGTGCGTGTGTGCCGGTTGCCATCCAGGCCCAGACTTCCAGTAAATCAAAAGCGCAAACGCACATGTTGATCCATTGCTCTCATCTCTACCAGGAGTGTGGACAGGATGGAGACATCATTTGTCACAGTCAGCTGTCAGCTGTCCCGCGCGCCGCCGCCCACCTGGATGCGCACACACGCACGCGCGGCAACGCGGCGCGCATTTTAGCTCGTAAACACGACAATTACCTGAGAGAGGAGTCTCGCTCCTGGCCGGGGAAGGAGGTGGAATAGCTGCTTCATTTCCAGAGCGGTTATGATGTTAGGCCACATGTCGCAGTCACTGACACCAGTGTGCGCGAATGTCATTTTATAAAAGTATTTAAAACATGCTGTTTTGGGTGCGCAAAAACACAAGTTACTTCCCTTGTTTTGGAACTGCTGAGCTAATGCTAAGCGCTAATTACCAAGCTATTCTTGTCATGAGTATTTGGGTCAGTGGTGCCTTGAGATACGAGTGCCTTGAGTGCCTCGGTTTGGATTGAGATACGAGTGTGCCGCGCGATGGTGCCGGCAAACTTCACAACATCTGGCTACCATCGATTCACACTGGTCTGCTTGCGATGGAAGGAAGGGTATCAGTTGGAGGCGCTAATTCAGCATCAAGCTAGTTTGGGCAATACAAGGGATGGGCGATGAGCGAAAATGGACACGCTAGCTTTTTCGGCCTTGATAAATGGTCATTTACATCCGTGTTTGCTTGAATACGTCATCGACATTCAGTCGCGCTGCTTCGTTCCCTCACCGCTGTGCAAATGTGGGCACTCACGCATACACGCTCGCGTTGGAACGATTTTTGAAACCCGTTTAAAAAGTACAGTTTGACTGTTTCAGTTTGGTTTGCGTGTGTCCCGTTGGGTCATAGGCACATGCATCTCTTTTTTTTTTTTTTCTCCGCTCATTTATTCATGAGGCGCAGCAGTTTACAGTAGCGCTAGTGCTAGCCAGCGCAACCATGCATTTGGGCTGACGACACAACGGTGCTCTTCTTGTACCATTTCATTGCTTGTTTATGCACCGCCGGTTCTGCGAACCTTCGCTAATGCTGCCAGGAACTCGATGGACAAGATACCCGTTTTGAGTGCCAGAATTAACAGCGAGACCGACGTGCCGAGTCTGTCTCTCGAATGCATGATCTCTGGTGCATCGAGAGAGGTTACAGCTGGCTTGAAATCATTGTACGTTTATATAAACGTGTCACTCTTTGTGCATTATGGAAGTCTGAATTGTAGAAAGGGTTCCGTCAGTCGTCTGAATTCATAACTTTCTCTTTAGTTTCGCAAAGTTAGAAAACAACCTTTGTTGAGCCAACGTTCCTATTTGTCTTTACAAAAATCTCATGGGTAACTACCTGAATTTTTATTGATTTATTTTCTTATGTATGGCTATTTAAATAGCGTTTGTAATCTCAATTTTGACAAATAGCCCTGCTGAAATTCTTTCACTTATAACAACTACCTGTCATTACTTTAATTTAAATATATCGAACATACTACTGGTATCAGTACTTGGAATCGGTCAGTACTGATACTGATCCTGATACTGAGTACCCACGAACGAATACTCATACTGGTATCAGTCTGAAAAAAAGGTGGTATTGAACATCCCTAGAAAATAGCTGGAGTACAATCTTTGAACATCTGCAACCACATCTAGCAAGTATTTCTCAGAAAAGTGACTTTCATTCCAGCAAAGCAATATTTCTTCTTTTTTTAAACAAGAAAGCAGCCCGGTGGAATGCCATCGTTAAGTCCATTTCTGCATTTAGTTGGAAATTTGGTGGCTCACCTCTCCAGTAATCGGGTGAGTAAATTTATTTGTCTTGAAACTCTGGCAAGCTCTGCAGGTGGGTGTGATTTATTTGAAGTCCAAATGCAAAAATATCCAAAAAAAGCAGATGCCGACGTGCTCGAAAACACCCTCAACCTTTGCCGCCATGCCTCCGTGCGAGCTGCGTGCTCTCCGCAGCCTTTGGCCTTCTCGCTCATTAAAGCCCGACCACCTGTCGCTGCAGCCTGGGCTCATAAAGCAGCCCGTTTTGGAGCCGGGCCCTCCTTCCCTGGCCGCAGAAATAATATACGCCTTTTCATATGTGCTAGCCAGGCTGCAGAAATGAAATGAAATGGAGTGTGGAGAGCGACACGGCTCATCAAGATGGACTGTTGAGCCGCGCCCGGCCCGGGGTTCCCGTCATCCACCGTGACGGATTTAGGAGGCCAGAAGCACACTCAACGGCGTCTTGATCACCGTCCAAGCTTGTTACGGCGCCCGTAAAACGCTCGGCCCCGGCTCATAACGCCGCCTTCGGGAAGACGGCGAACGCTGAGAATGAAACATTTTCACATTGCGCAGACCTTGACAGTGACAAAGTTATTTGTTTTATGATAATTCTCATAGCAGGTGCCGAAATGGGCTCCGGCTCCGACTCCGGCAAATGCTACGGGCCGCGAGCTGGAACGAACGCCCGAGGCGAATAAGGGCCACTTGAGTCACGTGACGTGCAAGGCGACTAAAAGGCGAACTAACAAGAGGCCAATGTGGAGAGGCCGCAAGCGAAATGCGATTGGCTCTAGGCTAAGAAAGGTAGCGGGTGCATACATTTACATTTCTTTCCAAAGCCATCCAAAACAAATTGTGAGCACAAAACAGCAACATGACAACTGGTCACCAACGACTTAGAAATGACATTGACAGAATAGAGTCTCAAGAGGCTGAACAGAAACACAAGTAGTGGAACTATCCTCAATGAACTGTCAACGGTTGATGTGAACAACAACAACAAAAAAAAAAAATGCTGCTTGCATCGTTTTTAATATTGATCGTTGAAATCTCCTTCTTTAGCAACGTCTGCCATCTGGTGGTGAACACTGTAACTACAACTTAAAACTGTGCCAGTAATCATACTTATTTTCCAAAATTCTTTGCGAGTGTTGCATGCGGGACGTGGGCCACCAGTTGCTCATCTCAGGTGTACGTCATTCATATTGCTTTACAATAAAGCAAAAACTCACGATACATCATTTTGTTTTATATATATATATGCATGGCTCATGTGCGTCTGTTTACAGTTTTTCTGTTTGATCAGCAAACTGCCTAATGTGCATTGTGGCCTTCATGCGGGTGCGCACGCACGCACGCACACGCACGCACGCGCACAACCACACAGACAGGTTGGCATCCGGATGGGCATTTGCATCATCAGCACGGCACCGGTGTCTGGCCTTCACACAAAGAGGCACAGAGCTAGAATGCGGAGCCATTCGGTGTGTGTGAGTATAACGTTGTGATCCACCAGCCTTGCTTTGTGAAGCACGAACATGCCACAGTGACAGCCATGCAACCACTGCTCAGAAGCCCTGGCGACGAATGCCTGGCCGCCTCTCTATGCGCGTGCGTCTGCATTGTTGCGCGACGTGGATTTTCATTTTCTGCGATTGGGTGTGTAGTATTATGGCATAACTGTCCCAGGTGTGTGTGTGTGTGTGTGTGTGTGTGTGTGTGTGTGTGTGTGTGTGTGTGTGTGTCTGAGAGAGCGAGAGAGGTTCCAGCTCAGAATGTGCGATATCACACCGAGATATACACAGCAGCCACAGGTGTTGCAGTACTGATAGGCTATGTGTTCTTTTGCACATTCATCCTGTGTGTGTGTGTGTGTGTGTGTGTGTGTGTGTGTGTGTGTGTGTGTGCATCCATTGTTAATTAACCCCACCTAGCACCCACCACCCACATGAGTGCTTGTGTTCTGAGCATGTTCCCTGAGCCCCAGCCTGCTAATCCACACCTGTCTCACTCTCTTTCTGGCACGCACGCATACGTATACACACATGTATACACACACACACACACACACACACACACACACACACACACACACACACACACAAACACACACACACACACACACACGCACACAAACACGCACACCTACTGGCGCAGACAAATACACACCACGGTCCTCACAGCAGGGGATCCGTGTGCAGTCTCGCTCCCAAGAGAGAAGCGGTATCGGTTGAAATTGCATCCAGGATGTACAAAGGCGCGTGATTGGACGCGACGGGATGCAGAAGCATGTGATTGGATGAGACAAGAAGCCAAGGCGTGTGATTGGGCAGTGGTAAAATCCACATATTTTCAGGGGTAATTTGTGGGTTGAATTCAGCCCATTTTGTCCATTGAAGTGCTCCATGCTCCTTGAGAGCGTTTTCATGTTATAGACATGGGTCCCACTGCTTGTCAAGTTAACACTGAATCCTGAATTTAATGCGATAAAAGATGACACTCATTATTCCCCGCGTTTGTCATGGAGGTGCTTGTGTCAAAAAAAAAAGGTCAAAATGGATCAGTTTGGTTCTGAGCGAGATGCGAAGAAACACACAGGCCGACAGAAGGACCTCCCGGACGAAGCCGGACGAGCCATATTGAGGTCATGTTGACAAAATGGAAGTGGCCGCGGCATGCGTACGGCGTCTCATATAGGCGAACCCCGATGGACGGATAGAGCGGCACCAGGAGCGGGCAGATAGCAGACAGTCTGCAGGGAAATTACCGCAGGCCGGCACTCTCCTAAAATGTCAACTCAACACACACACACACACACACACACACACACACACACACACACACACACACACACACACACACACTCACACACACACACACACACACACACACGAATACAGATCGTGGAAGTGAACGGAAAAACTAAGGGAGAATGTGGCTGAAAAAGGTCTTGGCACAACAAAATACCTCCAGGAAGTGAAAATGGATGTGTGAGGACTAGTGAGTATGGATCTCAATTCTAGTTCATTAATTTTGATTTTTTCTTTTTTTTTCGGCCAATACCCAATTCCAATCATTGGTAGAATAAAATTCCGAAACCCAATCAATCAGCCGATCCATTTTAAAAAACATACAATAAATAAAAATAAATGAATAACGCTTACAACAATAAAAATGAATTACAAGCAGAGCATTTGAGTGATATCAAAAACATATGAACATTTTGTTTTTTGTTTTTTTTTTTAAACTTTACAGACAACAAAAAGAAAAATAAACAAAAAAACATCTTATTAATTTTAATTTTGGGGATATTGGGGTGAATTTCACTTGGCTAAAGTTTGAAGGAAAAAAAAAAAGAAAGCGCGAATATCGCCTGATTAAGATGAATGGGTTGAGGCCGACTACTGTCGTTAATCCAACAAGTTATGATCGGATTGAACAGCACATCTAATGCACAGCTAATGTCATGCAATCGCAGTGCATGACATGATTTATCGATGATGATGTCAATTATTTTGACGATTATTTTCTCGATGAATATCATTGAATCCGATTTTTAAAAACATGCTTCAATGGCCATCCTTTGATTCCAAAATGGGACATTATTCCAAACTGACCATAAATCAATTATGATTCCGTGACTGCTTTGGCAGAAGATGGGCAAAAACATTGATCATTGTTTTCCAAAGTAAAAGCAGTGCTTTAAAATGTCTTATTTTGAAAAAAACAAAAAACAAAAAAAAACCAAAGATGAGTCTGCCTTCATGAAGGACTACAGTCAACAAATTTAGTTTTGACAGGGATAAAAATCAGCGGATTTGGACAGTTTACAATCAAACAAGGTCGCCAAACAAAATTATTCAATGATCAAAAATCATGACAGTTGGATTTGATCACGGATCAGTTGTTGATTCATCTGACCTCCAGACTCTCGCCTATTGCTGTGGCAAAAGAACATGCGGTGTGTAGGATAAACAACCGCAAACTAAAAAGCGCACATGCTCAGGCAGCCCTCGTGACAAGTGCATCCCAATTACCATGACGACTGATTGTGGGGAGCACTCGCAGCCTGTCGGAGGTATGACAGCACACATTGACGCATACGCGGCTCAGAGAAGCCCAATGCATTATGGATGCGCCCGACACCGCTTGCCATTCTCTACTCTTTTGGACACACACACACACACACACACACACACACACACACACACACACACACACACACACACACACACACACAGAGGAAAACCTCCTCCGCCCACAGCCTTGGCAGGCGTAGCACAGAGGTGGGAGGCTGCATTGAGAAAGCAGTGTGTGTGTGTGTGTGTGTGTGTGTGTGTGTGTGTGGTGGGCGAGGGGATGCCTACCACTCGAGTGCAAAAGGCAAGAAAGAAAGAAATAGCCCGCAACTCTCTGGTGACAAGCCAGGAATGTCTCCATTTTTCAAAACGGAGGGAAAATACTTGACTTTTAGCACTCTCAAATATTTATTTGGGAAATAAAATAGCAACAACAGTGAAAAAAGAACGCATTCTATCATATGTGTCAAATTCTTTGCAACTGCTCGCATGCATGTCTTGGCCACCAAGGAGCAGTGTCATGCAGTTCTGAAGACACGTACGAAGAAGACTTTCACAACGACTGCAAGTCAAGCGCAACAATATTTGGGGCCCAGTTAATATGGATTTTTTTCTTTTTTAATTACAATATTTGACAGAATAAAAATCTGATCAGCGGTTAATCACTTTACTTTTTACTTTTTTAAAATATAGAATGAACAAAATAACTTCTTTTTGGGTCCCTTCACACCCACAACAATAAATACATACAGTAAATGCAGAACATTTGACAATTTTTTGACTTTTGACAATACTTGAGAAAAACAATGCCCATTTGTTTGTCAATTTTCAGTTTTATTTTTTGGAGGCGGGGAATCTTTGAAGGTCACCGTCTTTGTCTTCTGTTGTAATGTGTTAAATCTAAATAAATAAATACATTCGGCCCAAAATGGGCTAATTTTCGCCAATTTTAAAAGAGCTAATATCGGATGATTAAATCAGCCGGCCGATTAATCCGCGTTGATGCACTGTTTGTGTTCAAATTTCTATTGATATCAAGGGTTATAAAGCTGTAAATATCGATGGTATTCGGTAGTTTATCAGTGGTGTTTTGCATTGTGTTGGCTTTAAGCTAACGGAAGGCAGGGAAGCTTTCTTTATATCGCACATTTCACACACAAGGCAACTCAATGTGCTTCACACAAGCAAAGACAACACTAAGGCAAAGTAGGTCGGTTGTGGTAAATACACCATGTGTAATTCTCTTTGTTTGATGTTTACTTTGACAGTGAACTTCAACTGAGATAAAAATCAGAACTGAAGATATGACTAAACTAAAAATATCTTATGATCCAAGTAGTTTTGATTGGTTGGATATATAAAAAGGTCATGAATGTGAATGTGACCCTTGCGTTGATTTATTTTTTTGAATGCTGTCCAACGTAGGAAAGGTTTGGACACCCGCCACAAGGAAGCCAGGGAAGGGGACGCTTTACCCTCTTACACATTTTGGCTTGCAGCTGCTCGGTCGATTAGACGGAAATGGATGATATCTGTGTTTTGATTTTTTTGGGGTATTTTTTTATTCCAATCTCAGGCAGTCAAATAAACAAGCTCTTGCTATTCTAGCTTCCCGTTTCCCACTTGTCAGTCACACACCTCTGGCAACCGCCGACACGCTCGTCTATTTTGTTAAAGGCTCGCTTTGCAAAAATATGCATTCGTCGTGCCTTGAAACTTATCACAACGTGTTCCCTTTCAATTTTTTTTGCCCCAGCCTGCCGCTGCCATCCCTATCATGTCTGAAACCTTAATCGAATAGAATGTAGGTGGCTTCCTTCTGCACATACGTGGAAAAAAAAACAAAACAAAAACGTATTTTGCTAGAATGAACTCTGAACACCCACAAAAACGTCACCCCTTTTCCAGCCCAAGTGTTACGTTCCTAAATACTGCGTTTCAATGTGAGTGAACATACAAGCGGATAGTTTGCTATTTCAATACACATACTTTTATTTATTGATTTTTTTTTTTTTTTTAAATGATAGATTATATTTTTTAA